GTAACATGTCAGTTCTAAATGTAACACAGTGTCAGTTCTAAATGTAACGCAGTGTCGGTTCTAAATGTAACGCAGTGTCAGTTCTAAATGTAACATGTCAGTTCTAAATGTAACACAGTGTCAGTTCTAAATGTAACGCAGTGTCGGTTCTAAATGTAACGCAGTGTCAGTTCTAAATGTAACATGTCAGTTCTAAATGTAACACAGTGTCAGTTCTAAATGTAAAACAGTGTCAGTTCTAAATGTTACACAGTGTCAGTTCTAAATGTAACACAAACACAGTGTCAGTTCTAAATGTAACACAGTGTCAGTTCTAAAGTAACACAAACACAGTGTCAGTTCTAAAGTAACACAAACACAGTGTCAGTTCTAAGTGTAACACGGTGTCAGTTCTAAATGTAACACGGTGTCAGTTCTAAATGTAACACAAACACAGTGTCAGTTTTAAATGTAACGCAGTGTCGAATCGTTTCAAATATTTTCTTTGTTTGTGACTGTATTTGGTAAAATGCTTACCTTTTTCAGAAGGACTTAATCCAAATTTAGATGGTGTTCATTGTTTTTGTCCTAACATTCATTTTTTGTCGCTAAAACCCTTTTATTTCTTTGTTTTTCTAATCATTTTACTAATGGAATATTTAAGACTTACTGAGTCGAGAATGAATGAATTGAACTGTTTTATTCTATTTAACTTGGTCAGTGGCTGTTTCATTTTCACTTTAGTGCTATTGCTTCTTTATAGCTGCTTTTTGGGGGGCTCAAATTTGATCCCATAACATGTTTTAGAAGTTCTGTAACATCAAATTTTATCCCATAACATGTTTTAGAAGTTTTGTAATATCAAATTTGATCCCATAACATGTTTTAGAAGTTTTGTACTATCAAATTTGATCCCATAACATGTTTTAGAAGTTTTGTACTATCAAATTTGATCCCATAACATGTTTTAGAAGTTCTGTAGCATCTATTACCTTGCCTGAGGTGACTCATGAAAAACAAGTGGAAGTTTACCATTGTGTTGTTTGTCAGTGTGTATGTGTGTTTGAGTGTGTGTGTTTGTGTGTATGAGTGTGTGTGTGTTTGTGTGTTTGAGTGTATGTGTGTTTGTGTGTATGAGTGTGTGTGTGTTTGTGTGTATCAGTGTGTGTGTTTGTGTGTATGAGTGTGTGTTTGTGTGTATGTGTGTTTGTGTGTATCAGTGTGTGTGTGTGTATGAGTGTATGTGTGTTTGTGTGTATGAGTGTATGTGTGTATGAGTGTGTGTGTGTGTTTGTGTGTATGAGTGTGTGTTTGTGTGTATGAGTGTGTGTGTGTTTGTGTGTATGAGTGTGTGTGTGTATGTGTGTATGAGTGTATGTGTGTTTGTGTGTATGAGTGTTTGTGTGTATGTGTGTTTGTGTGTATGAGTGTTTGTGTGTATGAGTGTATGTGTGTTTGTGTGTATGAGTGTGTGTGTGTGTTTGTGTGTATTTGTGTTTGTGTGTATGAGTGTATGTGTGTTTGTGTGTATGAGTGTATGTGTGTTTGTGTGTATGAGTGTTTGTGTGTATGAGTGTTTGTGTGTATGAGTGTTTGTGTGTATGAGTGTATGTGTGTATGAGTGTATGTGTGTATGAGTGTATGTGTGTATGAGTGTATGTGTGTTTGTG